CTCTCTCTGTCTGATGTTAAATCATTTCTCCCTGTCAGAAGCTGCCTGCCTCCCTTTTACACTGACAGCTTCAGCTCCTCCCATCTGTCCTAGCCAATCCTGGGGCAGCTAAACTCCTCCCCTCTGCTGATCTGACTCTCCTTGTATTTCCCTCACCAAGATGGAGGCCGGCTTACTGTCTTTTAGGCTTCGGCTTCGGCCTACAAAGGTATGATCCACTACAGTAACAAATATGTTTTATTTGCACAAGAATTCATAAATAAATCTTTCTTTGTTTCAACTAATATGTTAAAGTGGCTGAGTGTCTGCCAGAGAATAGGTTTTTGGCTTCGCATTACCCTATTCAAGACAGAGGTCCTACTGGTCAGTCGTAAGGCCGAACAGGGCATAGGGTTACAGCCTGTGTTAGACGGGGTTACACTCCCCCTGAAGACGCAGGTTCGCAGCTTGGGAGTGATCCTGGACTCATCGCTGAGCCTGGAAGCCCAGGTCTCAGCGGTGGCTGGGAGAGCTTTTGCACAATTAAAACTTGTGCGCCAGCTGCGCCCGTACCTTGGGAAGTCGGATTTGGCCACGGTGGTCCACGCTCTTGTTACATCCCGATTAGATTACTGCAACGCACTCTACGTGGGGTTGCCTTTGAAGACTGCTCGGAAACTCCAACTAGTCCAGCGAGAGGCAGCCAGATTGCTCACCGGGGCGTCATACAGGGAGCATACCACCCCCCTGTTATGTCAGCTCCACTGGCTGCCGATCCAGTTCCGAGCACAATTCAAGGTGCTGGTTTTGACCTATAAAACCCTATACGGTTCCGGCCCAGTGTATCTGTCCGAACGGATCTCCCTCTACATCCCACCCCGGAGCCTAAGATCTTCTGGGGAGGCCCTGCTCTCGACCCCGCCTCTATCACAAGTGAGATTGGCGGGGACGGGGAGCAGGGCCTTCTCGGTGGTGGCCCCCCGCCTATGGAACTCTCTCCCCGGGGAAATCAGATCTGCAACCACGCTCCTTTCCTTCAGGAGAAAACTAAAAACATGGATCTGGGACCTGGCATTCGGACAAGCGGGTAAATAAAGAAGAACTCCATTGATGGCTAGGAAATGACTAACGGATTGGTCATGTGGAACTCTGGAAACGAAACGCTGATTATAAGAATTGACTTTTATAGGATGTTTTATATGATGTTTATACAATGTCTCAGGTACCAGTTGTTGATGTTTTATTGTGTTTATAGTTTTAATTGCATTTTTTGTATATTGTTCTTTTATATTTTTGTATACTATGTATTGTGTATAGGCATCGAATTCTGCCTTTTCTGTAAGCCGCCCTGAGTCCCCCTTTGGGGGTTGAGAAGGGCGGGGTAAAAGTACCAGTAATAAATAAATAAATAAATATTCCTGAAAAAGACAAAAAGCTCCCACAACCAGTGGTTAATCTTGCTTTCTGCTTAGTTAGTTCTGTGTTTGCCTTTCCAGCTCATGTCTCTTCCTTTCCCTTCTTTTCCCCAATGCAGGGATCATGCCTGGACGCTACAACCAGGACGTGGGCGGGACCATCCCCGTCTTTGCCTTCCTCGGAGCCATGGTGGTCCTGGCCTTCTTTGTGGTGCAGATCAAATCGAAGAGCCGGCCGAAGAGGCGCAAACCCCGCGTGAAGCGGCCCCAGATCATCCAACAGAGCCACCCACCCAAAACGCCGTCTGTTTGACCGCCGTTGACTTCTTCACATTGACTGTTAATGAAGACTGGCTGCGGCTGGCGTTTGGTGACTCCTGCACACAACTTCCTTTTTGTTTTCCGACCCCCGAATTACTCAGCGAATCATGCATCTCCAAATAAGGACAACCGTTTGTGTTTTCCCAGTAGCTGAACTCACCAAAGGCTCTCGAGCACTATATTTTTTAAAAATAGACAGAATGGATTGCTTGCTCTTTCTCCCCGAAAGGGATGGAAAAAGAGCTCTTTTTTAAAATTCTAAAACTGACCAAAACCTTTCATTAGGGGCTATTTTCTATATTTATTTTAGAAGAGACTGAAAGGCGATCGCAGAACTTTTTTTTTCCTGAACGGAACGCTATTATTGCTGCGTCTTTCACAGAGAAACTGACGCTTTGAGATATCCGGAAAAAGAAAAAACGAAACGAAATCATGTCGGTGTAATCCTTCCATTTATTTTTATAAAGCAACTTACCATGATGTTGTTGGTTTTTTTTTTTTGTAATTTTTTTCAGCATGATTTCACCATTGTTGGTGGAGAAAAAAAAATCAATAAATATGTTACCTATATTGAAGCTGAGACAAAGCTGCACCCGTCGGGTTTTGTTTACATACTTCCCGTTCCAAAG